GCGTAGCCTGCGCGGTGACCCCCCCCCCCGCCAGCCCACGTTTCCTTTCCTTCCGCCTCGCTCTGGTTGCACTTCTAAGTGCAGTTGGAAGAAAAGGCGCATCTCGATCAAGCATCCTGATCACCGGTTTTAAAGGGCTGCACCCCCCTTCGCGTTGTGCAAAGGAGGCCCCCCTCCCCAAGTGCTTTCAAAGCGGCGCGTGCAATTCTGTGCATGCTTGTTAGGAAGTTAATCTTGCTGAAATGTAAGGGGATTTTGAGTGAATGATCTGGCTGCAGCAGCTGCGAGCAGAAACTTATAGGGCAATCCTGTGCATGCTCAGGCCATATTTAAAAGTTAGGGCTGAAAGCTGCTATAATCAGTTTGTTATGGGTGACACATGGATTTTTAAAATAAGTTTTTTATTAAACTTTTCTACAGACGAGCTTTTGAGCTGAGGCATCTCTTTTAACCTGTCCAGCCACCTCCTTCAAATTCTGTCCACATGTTTAGAGGTGTTTCTCTGATAAGATTAGAAATGTATTGTGCATAAGGCTTCTCAGGAACAAGAGAATTAGGGGGCACACAATTAATGTGGGTGGTTGTTCTCCCTTTTTCTATAATATTCTGGAGCTGATGAAAATACAAACAACCTCCCCATGCCACATTTTGAACAAAACCTATCTAAATTATACAGTGGTACTTCTACTTATGATCTTAATCCGTTCCGGAATGGTGTTCGTAGGTCGAAATGCCTGTATGTCAAAGCACCATTTCCCATTGAAATGCATGGGAATGGGATTAATCCGTTCCAGCATTTAAAAACAACAACAACAAAATATAGCACACACAAGCCCCATTGGAAGGTGCTGGGGCTTTAAAAAAACAAACAAAAAATAAACAGAGCAAGGCCCGAAGGCTGAAAAAATAATCACCAAAAACAAACAACACAGCAGAGAAACATAACCTCCCTCAGCTGAAAACCACCCAGAAGTTTCTAAAAAGCAAAAAGCAGGATCTTACCAGGCAAACTAAAGCCTCCGATGGCACTCACTCCCTAGCAGATGGCAGATGGCAACAGGCCCCTGCCGGTGGCGGGGACCCTTGTTCATGTGTAGACCCACACCTTTGTTTGGTCTTACTCATGAGTAGACCCACAGCAGGGGTGGGCAGGGAGTGCACCAGCTTCCTGATGCCAAACTGGGGCCACCCCGCTTCTTCCTGCGCTGCGGCCACACGCCTGTCCACGGAGGAGCCCCTCCGACCTGCACACCCAGCCCAGCGCATCCAGCTGCCCTTACTCTTGAGCAGACCCATGCCTTTGGCGGCCCTTACTCATGAGTAGACCCGCACCTTTGGTGGCCCTTACTCATGAGTAGACCTGCAGCAGGGAGCACACCAGCTTCCTGCACCCAGCGGCGATTCAGAGCCATCCCCAGCTAAAAAAACTCCCCCCGCAGCAGGGAGCGCACCAGCTTCCTGCACCCAGCGGCGATTCGGAGCCATCCCCAGCTAAAAAAACTCCCCCGCTCTAATTGTTGGGGTGAAAAAGCTACAGAGAAGCAGCCTTTTCGCCACCAAGGGTTTGAATTTCCCACTTTTTCCTGTTCTTACGTTGAAGCAAAATTTTGCGAGTGGAGCTGTTCGTAAGTTGAAATGTTCGTGAGCGCACCAGCTTCCTGCACCCAGCGGCGATTCGGAGCCATCCCCAGCTAAAAAAACTCCCCCGCTCTAATTGTTGGGGTGAAAAAGCTACAGAGAAGCAGCCTTTTCGCCACCAAGGGTTTGAATTTCCCACTTTTTCCTGTTCTTACGTTGAAGCAAAATTTTGCGAGTGGAGCTGTTCGTAAGTTGAAATGTTCGTAGATAGGGGCATTCGTAAGTCTAAGCACCACTGTACTCCAGTTTTGCAGCTTGAAAAGGCCCTTTTATTTGCATTATGATCAAGTGCTGGAATAACTAGTGCTTTTTTAGTTACTATCTAGCTAATATATGTGAACAAATGTAATTAGTGTAGCAGAAGTACCAGTTGTATCAGGCTACTATGTATAGTAGTTTGTAGTGTTTTTAAATCCTAGCAAGCATCCTTAGTTACAAAACAGAAAAACAAGAATTTGAAATAAACACTTTGAAAACCAAAAGTATCAGAGGCAAGTATATTTAGTATAATTTTACAATTATCTATGTGAAATGTAGGTAAAAGGTTTCCATCCTCTTCCCCCATACACTTCACTTACGTTTCATGACTCTGTTAGGGTTTCATCAGATTTCATCAGAGTTTTTGTGGACATCCTTTTCCTTCTGTGTACTCAGTTTACTGACCTTAGAAGAATGGAAGGCTGAGTCAACCTTGAGCCAGTCACCTGAAACCATTGGGATCAAACTGAGTTGTGAGCAGAATCTTGGCTGCAGTACTGCAGCTTAACCACTGCACCATGAAACTCTCTTAAGAGTTCAGCCCCCTGCCACAGCTAAAGCATCCCTGACAATTGCTCATCTTCCTTGGAGGCAAGTAAGTGAAGGTACTCATGCCTAACCACTCTTCCTCCTCACCCTGTGCAAGTGTAGTCCACAGAGTGGGTGAAGGGAACAGAGGAGGAAATCCCTGAAGCTTGTAGATGGTGAGATTATAGAAACATTATAAAACGTTTTTTGCAGATCTTTAATTTTCATTGATGAATTTTTAAATCTTTGGTTGTTGTAGGTTTTTCGGGCTGGACAAACCAGAACACAGACAGAGTTCTGACTCCTGTCCCCTGAAGATGCCAGCCATGGAGGCTGGCAAAATGCTGTGAAGGCGTTCAAGAATTTTAAATCTTTGTTAAAATGTGGGAAGGAAAGGAAACAAAACATACAGGAGGGATATGGGGAATTTGCACAGAGTTCACTGGCACTGGAATATACATTTGAGTTCAACGGTTTTGGCATAATATGGATATCCCATGTGTCAACACTATTTTCCTCCACTGTCATCTCACAGGAGATAGTAATACCATAGCTGAGTGAAACTGGTCACAAGTTTTGTGATACTACAATATTCTATGTTTTTCTTACTATCCAAGGAGTTTGTTCTCTTGTTACTAACTAATTTGAATTTATCTAATTCATTTATTATTCTATTTTTATGTTCTTCTTCCAGAAACACCCAGAACGGCATATGGCACAATTTAGCAACAATAATAAACATAATAAATAAATCCAATAGCAAAATACTTTGCCACATAAGTGTTAAGAAAACAACTAGAATTAACAGCAACCATGAATCTACCAAGCAGCTCTTGTATCTATACTTCACTACATAATGCTGCACTGTATTGGTGCTTCTGAAAACTGTCAGGAGCTATTTATTTATTTTATTTATTTATTTGATTTATACCCCGCCTATCTGGTCCAAACGGACCACTCTAGGCGGCTAAAGCTATTGTGCAGCTTTTAAATACATTGCATCAGCTCCTCACCATCAACATTTAATACCCCACAGTACACCCCTTTTCTATGCCACTTCTGATTTCTTTTTATTTTATATTCTGTTATTATTTTTGATGGCCTATGTGGCCACTGGAGGATCCCAGAGGCATAATATTGCCTCCAAACCTGCCAGAGCTATCCATCCTGACATACAGAACAGCAGCATTTCTTTTACTTTTTCCAACAACCTAATGTTGGATACAAACCTATCATTAATGACACATAATGTGTTTTGTTATATAGGAAATATATTGGCTACTATGGGTTTCATATGGACAATTTATTTATGGATTAATTTTATAGAGCTAACTGCTTCTTACTGTGGTAAACTAAGTCACAGTTAAAGTAGGGCCATTTGAATCAATGAAACTTATGGAGTTGACTCACCAAATCCCTATTGATTCAGTGGGCCTACTCTAGTGTAATTTACTACATGAAACAACAGGATTTTTGCCACTAGCTGAGATCCAGTAGTGAGTTGCAACTAAAGTAGACCCACTGAATCAATGGAACTTACATATGCCATAATCACCATTGATTCTTTAGGCATAGTGTCTTGTAATGGAGCTGAAGTAGTAGCTTTTAATTGCTGACTGTGTTAATTAGTATTAAATATGAAATGCTTTTTTCAGCACTAAATTGAAAAGGAGTTAGGGTTTCAGCTTCAGAGGGGTTCTGCATTATGTTTGTGGGGCATCTGTCACTTGAATTGGGCTATGCCAGCTAGCATTGATAATTCTTTCATATCCTTGATCAAAGGATCAGCATAGTGAGTGTTTGTATCCCTATGATATGATTTGGAAATTGTCATATGATTTCTGTTAACATATGTAAAACCAGAATTACCTCAAATTTATGTTGGTTCTGAGCCTCAAATGTTGATTTTTTTTCTTATACTTTGTTTGGCAGGAAGGAGTGAAAACGGAGAATGATCATATCAATTTAAAAGTAGCTGGTCAGGATGGATCGGTGGTCCAATTTAAAATAAAACGGCACACACCACTAAGTAAACTAATGAAGGCATATTGTGAGAGACAGGTAAATAAGTAAACTGAATATATATGTATATATATTATATTATGGTTTTTAAGTTGCTGAGTACATTAGAAGGGCCACAAATGTCTATGGCCTACCTGCCAACAGAGATTATGATGAAGAAGTGTGTCCCAGGATTGCAAAAGCATTGTTAATAAGAAATTTTCACTCTGGTGTGTTAAAGCAGTCAGCAACCTTATATAAGATATGTAATCTTTCAGAGCTTGGTTGAAGTTGTTTTAACTTCACAATAGCCTGTGTTGCCATTGCTCTGAACTTAAGAGTTTAGAGCAATGGGAACAAAAGAGTTTCAGTTAATGTAAGCAGTTCTTCCTATATCATGTTTCTTTTTAGGAGCATTGATACTAAGAGCCAAACATATCTTATACAATGGGAATTGTCTATATCAGTGCCATATCATGATTTTTTTCCACTTCTGCTCTGCAATATTAAGCATGAGTGTGAAAATGCCTTCTTTAATTGGTAGTACAATATATGTACAGGGGATGTGGTGGCGCTGCAGCTTAAACTGCAGAAGCCTCTGTGCTGCAAGGTCAGAAGACTAGCAGTCGTAAGATTGAATCCACGCGGTGGAGTGAGCCACGATCGCTTGTCCCAGCTCCTGCCAACCTAGCAGATCAAACACATGTAAATGCGAGTAGATAAATAGGTACACCATGGTGGGAACGTAACGGCATTCCATGTCTAGTCGTGTTGGCCACATGACTACGGAAACTCTATGGACAAACGCTGGCTCTACGGCTTGGAGATGGGGATGAGCACCGCACCCTAGAGTTTGACACAACTGGACTAAATGTCAAGGGGAACCTTTACCTTACAATATATGTAACTGGCTGTGCCTGAGATGAGCTATGTTTCTTCTCAGTTACCAAAGAGACCAGAAGGGAAAAGGGAAAATAAATGGAATTTTGTCAGTATTCTGTTTATTGTGTGCTTGCGTGTCTGTGAGATTCTATACAGAGCTGCCTCTGTGTTGGGTAAAGAAAAGTACTGCCCAGATTATTCCATACTCCTAATTGTCCAGATTAGACTGGTAGATTAGGTATGTGTAAATTAGAAAAAATTATCAGACTGTTGAATTGGAACTGAATGTATAGAAACATACTGTGAGACAAAAAATTGTCCCAGTGTTAGATAAGGTTAATTACTTATACATTGCCAGTTGATTGTCAGCTAATCATTGGCATACCTATGACATATATTGAGTTGTCTTTGTTATAGGCTGTAGTATGAAGGTTTCATACATTAACTGTCATCTTTCAGGGTTTGTCAATGAGACAGATTAGATTCAGATTTGATGGACAACCAATTAATGAAACGGACACACCTGCACAGGTAAGAATGTTCTGTGATATCACAGAGGAGAAGATGGGTTTGCTGCTCTTAGGAGTGCTTAGACCTTCACTAGTATAGATGTAATTGCATGTAATGGCAGCAAATTACCATTAATTAAAGAGTTGCCACTTGCATTCCTAGTCAAATGCAAGGTGTATGACCAGGAATGTAGGTAGCAATTTGTTAATTAACTGCTGTGTTTTAGTCAGTTACATTTACACTGGTGTAAATCCCCAGTAGGATTCTGGCCACTATGTTTCTTAAGAGATTAGAAGAGCAGAGATTAGAAATTTACATAAGAGACCAAATAGTACTCTCGGTATCAAATGATATCAAATGAACTACTAAGTACATGTTTTATGGTAGTTTTAAGAAAGCATGATAAGGAGTATAGCTCTGTGTTGGGAACATATTTACAATCTACACAAAGCAAGTACATGAATTGATGTTTTAGTGCAACAGTCAGAATTACAGATGAAAATGTGAAGCATATAGTTTTCATTTTAACTCTCGAAACCCAGACTGTATTTGTGAGAAAGCTGGAAGGGCAGTTTGGAGAAGAAGCAAATTTGAAAGGTGGATAAATAATACTTTTTAATTATGAATTTATAAACAGATCTGGCTGCACTCCTGTTCAGTATTTACACACATGGAGCTCCACACTGCAGATGCTGCCACTGTGATTTGATGAAGTGTTGGTTAAGTGTTGCTTGTCTGTGCAACCACACCGTGTGGCTGTCCTTGTCTTGTATCTTATCAGATGATTGCAGAAGCTTCTGCACTTGGAGTTCGATTTGTATAAGTATAGAACTGGCTTATGTTTCTGGGTAAGGCAGGAAAACTGAGAACAGTATATAAAAAACAACAGTAATAAAATCTTGTTGCACCTTTAAGATTTAGCATATTTATTATGACATTTTTGGTCTTAGGTTTCTTCAAGACTGTTGTTTTTGCTGCAAAAACAAGTGCATCCCATCAAAAGATAAAAATTTTAATTTTCTGTAAATTATGAGAAGTGTTCTATATTATAACTTTAATTTTCTTTTAACAGTTGGAGATGGAAGATGAAGATACCATTGATGTGTTTCAACAGCAGACGGGTGGCATGTGCTAAATATCCTGTCCTTTCTGGAAGAAGAATGTAAAATGTCACCTCACTTTATCATCTGTCCTTGGATTTGCTATTACATAGTAAACAAATGAACATGCCAATCATACAGGAATATTCTGATGTTCTGGAGACACTTATCCAAATTATTTTCCTGTCCCTGATATACTGCGTGTGCAAGTCAAAGCTGGAAAATAACTGCATCATAAAAATGGGCCCACTTAAACATTAAATTTTCAAATAAGTAAATAATGGCTGTTGTTTGCTGTCATCTTGTTCCTGTAAATCAGTGGTCTAAATACCAACCTACTGTAAAGCAAGGATAATTAGTTTGGGCTTTTGTTGTTTTTGTTTTACTGTTTAATTATAGTAATGTAAATATTGAAACTTTTTTCCCTTGCAGTAGCAATTTTTTTTTCAGAATAGTAGGTGGCTTGGGAAAAAAGGGGAGTTACAATTAAACACTGTTATTACTTTAAATTTGTTAATGCGGTATGCAGAAATGGCAGTACATGCAGATACAGTGCAGAATATAGTGGCAGTTTAAGGTAATGCAAATGTACATGTGCTTTTCATAATGTTTTTTTAAGTAATGGAATGTTTTTGAGTTTGTCAGCTGCTGTAGCATTTGCATATGTTAACTTTCACAACTGCTATTAAATATCTGTGCCCAGGATTAAGCACCATTGTATTTGATACAGATGTTTAAGGAATAGAGCAGAATCTTAGGGAGCTATGCTGTGCAACTCTTGTTAATTTTAATGGAAAATGTGTGAGAAAAAAACATTAGCAGATGGTTCCCAATGAGAATCACTGCTTCTCATTATTGATTTATTAGGCAATAAATAAAGCTGTATACTTTATTCCTTTTACATGTTTTGAAAGCTGAACTTAGCAGCCTTATGTAATTATCTGATATTTTCAAATATATGTGCTGATATTCAAAGGGCCATATTTTGCATGAGCACCAGAGTTCGCCTCCTTATGTCTGTTATAACTACTTACACATTCTGATACCCTCAGCCTTCACCCTAACCCCTCCAAGATTTAGGGGATTCCACATGGTACTGTAATGTTCGGGGATTGCAGTCATCCAAAAGGTGGAATTCTGTGCATTCACAATGTGCATATGCAGTCTACTATTCATGCATGGGGCTCTTTGGATTTTAGCCGTTAATTAGTTCTTTAACATATTCTGAGTAAATTAGGACCTGTCTTTCAAAAATAATGAATTTCCATATATTTGTAGTCAAGTTAACTATGAAGTCCATGAAGCTCTAAATAATAAAATATGATGTTTTAAGGAGACCTGCTGTGCTACTTCCCCAGATATTTTTTAAAATTAATTTTGTAATGGTGTCAAACTTGTAATATTTCTGGATATATCCAAATGAAATAAGAGTAATTGGTTGAATTTCAGTAGGGTGTTCATGGTTGTTTGAGAAGGTCACTGCCTTTTATATTTACCCATCTGTTAAGACCATTGGATTGAAATAAATCGTTCTGGGAAAAAATCATTCCCCCGCCCCATTTTCCATTTGATTCTATACGGGCTCGGGAGGGGATATACTTTTAAATCTTATTGTTTATTCACCAGTTTGTACAATACATGTCCTTTACTACTGTATACAGTAAATATAGTTTGGTACTCTGTCTCTTGGCTTTTGCTTAATGCTGTTGCATTTCATATGTCTGTACTCAGTCCAATATCTATGAAATACTGATTATATTTAAATGTACATCTTTATTAAAATTATTTTATTGGGAGAGAGCCTACTGTTTAGGTCATAAACATCTGTTTAGGGTGTAGGCCTCTTAAAGTTTTTCAGAAGGCAGATCCCAGAGTTATGTTAATTTGTTACATATTAGTTCATCAGGTACTGTGTCTCCTTTGTAGCTTGGATCAAATATACTTACTTTTTCAGTGAGAAATATATTATGTGGAAAGGGCTATAATAGAGGAACTCTTAGTACTGAATTAGTAAGGCTGTGCTTTATATTCAAGTGTTTCATGTAGTTCCAGGATAATATTCAGCATGTGGGAATAGTGAACCAAAGACTGATTTGTACATATAGTTACATTGTGATCTTACTTGCATTGTTCTTTTGCATATACACTTCCATAGATACAATCAGGTTCAGTGTAAGTGTTCACTTCACAGATGAATTTCTAAGACATGTAATGTGTAGAGAAGTACTTATCCCTGGTTTCATGATATTCTAAAATAAGCCTTTGTTGCATTATCAAAGCTATCTTGGGACGGTCAATTTGTGGATAAGTGCTACTGCACTTGTTTGTACTAATGCTGTTGATATTCATAAATTAGAGCTGCTGAGAGTGGGAAGTGCAGTTTGCTAGAAAGTCAATTAGCGGTTAATATACAGTATTTCTATTTCTAAATGCCACAATGGCTGAGAATCATGCAGGCATGAATGACTTGGCATCAGGATCAGTGAGACTGAGATAGCAGAAGACCTTTTAGGGAATTAAGGTTTAAGAATAGTGATGATCCTGTCTTACTGTCTGAAGCAAGAGGATAGTTTTAATTTCTTCCTCGTATAATATTGATCAGAAGCATCATAACTTCCTTCATTCCAAATGTATAGTCAGTTTACATGGGTGAGTTAAAAGAGGAAAAAATCCAGAGAGAAATAAAGCTGTAACTTGATCTTGCTGCTGTCACTCTACCTAAAATATATTGGAAAATGCATGTTTGAATAGAAGAGGATAGGAGTATCCCATGCCCTGCTCCAAACAGCTTGAAGTTTGTATACATACCTGGGGATATTATAGAGCGCAATAGGGCTTGTTCATGAGTCAGAATATGTAAATTTGTAGTAATTGAAGGGATTAAACTAGTGCTTAAATTACCTCTTGTAAAAGAACAAGTCAGCATCCTTCATCAGAAGCATGTTTCATGCTAACAAAGATGAGTGGGGTGCAATTCCTATAAGGAAGGCATCTTTCAGTCTCGAGAGACTTATGGTAATATGCTCTGTATGGAGGACTTGGAACAGCGTCTACTGTGTCTGAGAAGGCCAATTCGAGAGTGACAAGCACTTCCACATTGCAGACAAATACAATCTTTCCCCTATCCAGCTCCCTGATTTTGCTGGTTTTGGGACTAACTCTTTGTCTCAGCCTGCTGGACAAGTGTCTCTTCAAAATGGGAGAGGCATGATGTACCATCTGCCTCCAGGCTGTATGCTCAGATGCCAAGATTTCCCATCTGTTGAGGTCCATTCCTAAGGCCTTCAGATCTCGCTTGCAGATATCCTTGTATTGCAGCTGTGGTCTCCCTCTGGGGCAATTTCCCTGCACTAAGTCTCCATACGAGTTTGGAATCCGACCATCAGCTATTCTCACAACATGTCCACGCCAACATGGACATCACTGTTTCAGTAATGTATATATACTAAAAATTCCACCTTCTAGGACTACTCTATTTGGAACTTTGTCTTGTCAGGTGATACCAAAAATGTGTTGGAGACAGCACATTTGGGACATGTTCAGCTTCCTCTCCTGCCATGCATGAAGGGTGCAGGACTCACTGCAGTACAGGAGTGTGCTCAGAACACAGGCTCTGTAGACCTGGATCTTGTAAATGCCATTAAATGTTTCAGAACAGAACAGACCTGGATCTTGATATATGTTGTCAGCTTCTTAATAAGCCATATTCTCTGTGAGTCTAGAGAACATTGCAGCTACTTTGCGAATGTGTTTATCCAGCTTGACATCTAGGGAGAGAGTGTCAGAGATCGGTACACAAAGTCATGAACAACCTCCAATTCTCGCGCAGAGATGGTAATAGAGGTGAGTCCACGCCCTGGCCTATGACTTGTGTTTTCTTCAGGCTGATTGTTACTCCAAAGTCTTGACAGGCCTTGCTAAAATGATT